CTCAACAGGTACAGACACAGTTGTGGAATTTATTGTCACAGGCTCACGTTCTCTATTCTTAGAAACCAATTACCCTGTCTATTAGATTAGAAAACCCTTGGGAGGTCGTTAGGAGCCAATCAGCTTTCTAGTCCAGACTCCGGACTAGACAGATTTAAACTGGCTTGTCATCGGCTCGTTGCTATCAAAGAAATCGCGCTCTGCTCCAGAGGTTTTTCGCGCGGGTCACAATAGTGACATGACCGACACCGGAAACCGCGGAAGAAAATCCTCTGGCAAAGTTTCAAGCCCAGTCCACACTACGCCAGAGGAATTTGAAAACTGAGCTTTATTTCTCGGGTTAGGCTTTCCATCCGCACTAATCCGTCACGAAACCGAAGCTTTTCGAAACGCACTTCAAGTCGGAGGAATTTGAAAACGCCGGCTCCGAGCGGAAAACGGAAAACATTTTAATCAAAGTGGTTACAGGGAAAATTACGGAAGCCCCAAAGGGACATCCACTTATTAAAAATGGGAGATTGTTTTTTGAAAATGGGAGTTTGTTTTTCCAAGATGCGAGTTTGTTTTTTTGAAAATGGGAGTTTGTTTTCTTTGAAAATGGAAATTGTGTTTTGAAAATGGAAGGGTTTTTGCTTTCGAAAATAGGAGCTAGTGCTTTTTTTTTAAATGGTTCTTTTGTGATTGTGCATTGTTGATCATGATGGCGGACGTGCAGATGCCGTGTAGAGAGGTAGGTTCTCGGTCTGTTTTTTATCTGTCATTGGTTGTTCTACGAGGAATAAAACACAAATAGCGGTGATAAACATATTAAACTTACGCATTTTAATAACTTGACGTTTCGTATGCTACGCAACATACATTTTCAAAAGTGGAATAAAGACCGTTACAATTTTTGAAAACTATATATGAAATGTAAATAAGGGGTCTGGAAACGAGATTAAGAAACATCTGTTTCTTAACAGTAAAACAATAAAAGCCTAAGCTTATTAATAAAGTATCAGCCTCTCACTGCTGACGTTTACATTAAGAGCCGGCTTAAGTTCTTGGATGAGCAAAGTTTCTTTAATTTTACAATGATAATCTGTTTTACCAGAAGCTAGAA